GAAATATTTAGACCTTGACTGAGAAAAATCACTTCCAAAGATAATTACATATTTTGAAGCTGAGGAATGATCATAACCATATAGTTGCTGAACTGAGGCCTATCAGAGACTGCAGCAAGTTAATCATAGTGCCAAGAGTTAATTCGCTGCTCTGAGTTCAAGCTATAGAACCTTATCTTCTGATACTCATGCCATTCACCTTAGCATAACGTTTTTCAACTTACTCAGTGCAATTAGCCACTATCAATATTTAACACAGATAGCTTCAGTTTACTGATAAAAAGAAAAAAAAAAAGGTTAGCATTTAACAAAAGCCAATGAAAGTGGTAGTCTGCATACACAAGGAGAATCTGCTCTTTTTTGTTTTCAAAAAGAAAAAGAGTATTTTTCTCTGTTAACAGAACTGATTAAAGAAAAAAGGAAACTATAAGCATTTTTTCACAGGCTTCTGCATTGATCATGGCTACTTTTTTGAAGCAGGTGATAACTCCATACACCAAAAAAAAAAACTTCCCAAGTCCTTCCGTGCAGTTCCACCACATACCCAGAAGCTCCAATCAGCCATTCTGACCCCAATACTGCTGGGTCATATGCACCAAGCAGACCAGCTCCTCTCTGATCAGCAGAAGGACCAGTTCCTTAGCAGCCTGATGGCCAAAGGACTCACTCAGTATGTGAAAAGATCACAGAATCACGGGATAGTTGAGGTTGAAAGGGATTCCTGGAGATTATCTAGTTCAATCCCTCTGCTCAAGCTTTCTAGAGTGCCAGGAAGAGCTACAGGAACTCTTCCAGTAGTTCTTCTTAGGAGAAGGCAATAGATTTCAGGCTGATTAGATACCTGATATGGAGAGCATTTGGATTGCAACACCACAAAAGGAAAAAAAAAAAAAAAAGTGTCAATGAAGACCAGTGCAGAAGTAAGGCAATGCAAACAGCAGGAGGATGAGGAACTAAGGCTGCTTGGATGGAAAAGGGAAGAAGGAATGGGCAGAGAGGGTAGCTGTGCCAGCTAGATCAAAGAGCCTGAATAAAAGCCAAGATCCCAAGACTAATCATGTCTTGCTTACAGCAAATATCTGCAAAACGCTGGCAAAGTGCCCACTCTCTTTCTCGTGCTGGTTCACAGGGAGGATGACAACCTACTGCAGCCGGTTACTCCACCAGCTCAAGTGGCAGATGTCTGGGTAGTGGATATTTAACTCAATTAAGGATTCTTGCTGTAAGATGTCATACAGCAGTGTTTCTGGGGGAAAAAGGGGAGTCAGTTAGCTGTTTCTTACATCTTGTTTCAAACAGGCAGTAGCCCACACAGGGCTAAACTCAAAAAGAATTTAATAAGGAGCTCTAGAGTTAGCCCATGCTAGAGTTAAGACTTCTGGTTAAGACTTCTGGTTTGAGGTTTCAAGATTAAATCTTCAAAAGTATGGACTCTCCCTGAACTGAAAGTAAATGGCAGCTGGACTCTGAAAATATCAAAGGTGTCTGAAAGTCAGACCATTCCTGTCCCAGTGGGCGTCCCAAATAAGCAGATGCTTTTTAACTGCTTTTTAACTTTTCCACTTTCAGTGGAATAGCTGGAAAAAAAAATAGCATCCCGTCATTTCAAAAATGTGTTTGTGAGAATAAATAAATCAGCATATGGAAGGAATTCACAGATTTTTTTATTGACGAGTTTCATAAAAGTAGCCATCAACGAAATTAATTATTCTGTGTTCAAAGAACAGCGTTTTTTTTAAGTCCGAGCCGCTCTGAATAATGGTTGTGACTACGCAGACAGGCCTATAAGCAACTGAACTCAAGGTCTGGCCATCAAGTCGCCCCTCACCTTGCAGGTGAAGCTGATCCAGACAGCAGGTGAAGAGTTAGAAGCAGTGACCAGTCCAGCCCACAGTTTCCAGGATAAATTGTTAGAACACATTTTTTGATGGCCTTTCTAGAAGCAGGAGAGATCAAATATATGCAAACCCTTTTAAAAAGCAAGCTCTTTGGAAAAATACCCATTTCCACCACTGCTACTGAACTGGTATGGAATTGCTCTTTGCAAGCATGCTCATCCAGCCTGGTCCAGGACTAAGGGAACTCAAGCAGGCATCGGTTATTTGCAGGCAGTTTAACTGCATCTCCTTGGAACAGGAGATATTCTCACTAAAGTCTTGAAATTTTACTACTTTTTAATATCCTCCCCAGCACTATGTGAAATGTCGTGACCCTGATCTCAAAAACTAATCTCAAAAAACTCAACTTTTAAGAGTGCTTTTTTTTATGCTTTTGGATTTGGATGCACAGCTGCTTAAAGCTCTTTTTTTTGTGGCTTCCTGCTAACTGATACTCATTACTAGTACTGAAAAATTATTCCTTAATCTCAATAGTAACAGTCTTATGTACTGCACAGAGCAAGTTACCATATAACTATATGAAGTCAAAATAATATTTTCAGAGGCATGTTTAGTCCTAGAAATTTCTGACTTATGAATGGTTGACTTTGTAGCCTGTTGGTTGTATAAGTGTAGTACAGAACTAGCGGCAAATTTAAGCAGCCAGGCACCCTAGCCACCATAGGAGGGACTCACAGTTTTCCTGGCCTGCAGAAAACATTTGATCTAAAAATTAAGAAAGACCTGTGACCACTGCACAGATTTGGTCACTATAGTGCTGTTGGGATGGAAATAAAGGAAATTCATATAATCTTTGTCATCTTACAGATATTCACTCTCCTTTAACATTACAAACTCCATAGCTGAAAGGCTCCTTTCCTGAAAACAGCTGCATGCACTTACAAGGTCTACCTAATGTATTGAATTCAGTCTGGGATATGATTCTTTTCATCATGCTCCCACTTAACATCTATATGTGGATAAAGTATAGAGCAGAACTTTTCTTTAATAGAAAACTATATATATTTACATGTCTTACTTTCAAAAGCAGTTTCATAATAAAATAAGCAGTTGTGAAAAGCCCAGAAATGTAATCAGCTCTCCTTGGTATGTGCCATATTCAATACTCTGCTCACCATGGAAGCTAAGCAAATGCAGTACAAATTTAGTAGATTTCATTCAGGAAGCAAAGAGATTCGGTTAACATTAAATTTAGTAGTCGCTAATCCCACTTCCCCTATCCCCTTCCACCTAAAAAAGGTAAATATTTAAATTCCCCAATGGTAAAGTTCAGCATCTTGAGCCCTATTAAATGTTGTAAGTCAAAGTAAATTCCATTTCTCTGATTAAACAGAGAATATTTCCAAAGATCATAAATAAACAGTGTGTGCGAGTTTTCCTTTTCCATACCACCTGATTAAGCACTTTTGACCTCAGCTCATTCAGAATTATGTTTCTGCTATACATTTTTGTCCCAAAGAAAGGACAATCTCTGTTGAGGGTAAGAAAGTCTAACATTTTAGGTATGAAATCTTGCAAGGAGATGCAAGTAAACTCCGGAATTTTCCAAAGTCTGTCCGCATCATATTTCCCTCATGCTTTCTAATTCCCTTCATGATCATCTTTCTTTAAAGTGATGATTTCCCTCCAAGATGACCAGCACAATTGTTCTTAGCCATATGGGAACCTGCCAAGCTGGACCTTTTTTGCTATAAATTTCAGTTGGGCATGGAAAGCTAAAGAAAAGGATCTCACCCTGACTCAGTTACACGTCAACTGATAGTAGGCAAGCACAGTGAAACTTCACAGTCTGGTAGGTCACACATTGTGTTTTCAGACGCAATTACGTGCTGCAGCTCTCCTCAAAAGAACTCTCATACCCGAGGCAAAACCATTTCAATACAAAGACTACTACAGTATTTATTCATGTTCCAAATGGAAAAACAAAAACATAAACCTTGCTGCCTTACTTTGAAAAACAGCACAAGAAAGAAAAAGCTTTCAAAACAATAAATAGAAATGCAGAAATATTTCAAATACAGATCACACTGTTGCCTTCTTATATGGTTCTCAAGACCATGGAATCACACCACTGTGTAAGAATATGCAACAAAATGACAAATTCAAATCTCTGCCTGATGGCAGCAACTATCCTTCTGTGCAAGAACAACCTGAATGCTGGTTAAGTCATTTCAAGATATAGATCGACACTCCATATTACTTCTATACATATTTCCACATAAAGAGCAATATCAAAGTGAAGAAAGTTCAAAAATAAGGTTGTTATTTTGTTTTATATGAGTAATAAAAATGTAAAAATGATAAAAATATCAAAGAAAAATAATACATATCCTTGTAAAGCCAAAACACACTGTCACAGGAATGAATTGCAGGTATTTCTATCACAGCAACTCAAGTTTGCACAGTAAACAACTACTTTACAGATTCCAGTTTTTCATTTTAATGGTCATTAAAGATCACAGGAAACAGCCAAGAGATATGCAGAATCCTTTTGAGCAATGTTCCTGTACTATGGAAAGTGCATTTACAATGAGCAAGAAAGAAATTAAATCACCATATTCTCAACCCTGCAAGCTGCTATTCACATGAATCCCAATCGCACAGTCAAGCACGTGCTGAACTTTAACTGTTCGAACAGTCCCAGCCTCCTGTCTAATCAATCAGAGTGCCCCACACTTTCCAGGACAAGTGATACAGTGTGAGCCTCTCTCCAGTGGAATCAATGAAAAAAAATGACCTGCTCTGGCAGCAACGCTATTTCATTAGCCCTGTCCAAAATGACAAGAGAGGAACTGATCACTTCTTACTTAGTACTGCAGAAGATACAAGGGTGAATTTACAATAAGTCAACACTTTGGAATAACAATGGAAAAGTGACCTCTTATTTATGGAAAATTAAGGGCCTACACACCTGGAAATACTATAGTTAGCCAATCAAGTTCATAGAGTTTCTCCTTTGCCTGCTCATATCTCAAACAGCATTAATGGCTTTGCTATTTTGAAATGTCACCTTTCCTGCATTTGGAGTTTGGGATTTTTTTAGCCATCCAGCTATTTAATGAACCGCAAAGAGAAAAGATATCAGGAAGTGCAGAGCTTTACCTGAAGGCCCTCTATGGCTAATCTAAGCATGCTTGGAGTCAGCTTGGAGGCCTGCTTGAAGGTGAAGTTGCTCCAGTCTATAATCAAAACAAATCCATTCACTTGAAGCTCGGGGTCTTCGATCATGGCTTCTAGAGAAAGAAGTATGGCACGCAAAATATCCACCAGTGTGTACCTGTGAATGTTAAGGGGAGACTTGATTAGGCCAAGCTTAGCAATACGCAGAAAAGACCTCGATCAGAGACTGACAGAATTTCTAAGCGTTATTCCCCTGTACCATTTAAAGAGCTTAAAACAAAGGAATGTATATGCATTCTCAGAAGTCATGGGAATGTAAAGCTGTGAACGTCTCAAAAGCTCAGTTTAGTTGGTCTCATCCTCTGAGGCCAGATTATATGCATCATCACCATTAGCAAGTCAAGATAAATCTAAAAATATAAACCACTAAGAAAACCTTCATGTTCGCCATAGAAGATTCAGTCTCCAAATTTGCCTAAATATCTACGCATGTAATTAAATGTCTTTAACATATCTATGCACGCCTGTATAGATGTGTATGTATATGGTATGCGTATATGCATATATGTTCCATCCTAAAGTTTTCTTCTCTAATTTTCCAAAAATTCTTTCCACCTTTTCTTTTTTTTTTCAGATTTAACTTTTTGCAATTTTTGTACGTTTTTGTAAATGCATTTTTTTCCAGGGTGGGGGAGAATGTACTTCAAAACTTATTTTGAAGGAAAATGTACAAAACCTGGATTCTTATAATTTCTAGCACAATTCCACCATTGAAGAACTGTTAGGCCAGGACCTCTCAATTTCAACAGGTGCAGTAAAACAAAACCCTGCTTGCCCAGGGTAAAACGCCCCTTGGGAAAACAGGGGCTGATATGGCAGAGGCAAAGAAATTGCACAGCTTAGGGCGCTTCCCCAAGGGCAGCAACTGCCCCAAGCCCAGCTGCTGTATGCAGCATCCAGCCACCCTGGGAAAGCGCCAAGGTGCTGTTGAGGTCTTTAAATGAGCAGATAACCCACAGTGGCCCAGTGTAAAGCACAACCCAAGCAAAGATGAAACCATTAAGAGGTTTTTTCCCAAAGAAGCTGCACATAAAACGGGACATTTAGGGAGTGTTCTTCAGCATCAAGACTATAGTGGGTTTTACTGGCATAAAATAAGATTGGTTCTGTGTACTTAGCATATTTGCAGATCAGCCTACCCGTCTGATATAACACAGATGCTCAAAGACTGTGGAGGGCATCCAATTAAAGTGAGTATTAAAAAAACACTGTATAACTTGTATTTTGCGTTAGCATCACACTTAGCTGGTGTGGTGTTGAAGCGTTTATGGTTGGACTCAATGATCTTAAAGGTCCTTTCCAACCATAATGATTCTACGATTCTATGATCAGGATAAAAACACACATGGTTGGCCTGCAGGAGTCAGGCTTATGCTGTCATTTTAGGGGTCCAGGGCAAGGTCTGCTGCTTCCTCCTTGACTCTTCAATGGCTTCACAACCACTGGTATGCTCTATAGGGCACTGGAGGTATCAGAAACACTAATGTTTTATCCTTTTCTGAAATTAGATATGCGCCCTACAAGAGGACATCCCAGAGGAGAGCTTGCACAGGAAAAGAAAAATAATAAACATCAGATAAGTCATTAATAAGATGTCACTAATGCCTCCGTTTGAGGAATATCTTCTGTTAGGATTCATGCTTACAGGAAAGGGGCATGAGAAATACTCATACCTTAAAATTAGTCACAATGCCACTTGACATGTATGCAATGCCATCCAGAGAAAATTATTCTCCAGGATGGGAACTCCAGCAAAGCAGACGACTGCTGCAAGCTCCTTACATTCAGTTCCAAGAAGGTCCCACATTCAGCATCTAAAGTCCTCCCTATGAAGGTTCAAGAAAATACCATGTCTTGAAATAACGGCTCTCTGATCTGCGTAGCATGAAGCTGCTGGGTATCTGTGGCATAAAATATTCTTTGTTGGTTCAAGCCTTTGAGGTAGCCCATAAAATGTTTCTAGATATATCTATGTTTATGCATATGCACATATTAACACATATATTCCTCCACACTGACATATACACCTAATGATATCCTGAACATATTTAAGTCAGGGACAAAACTGTCAGATGTCAATGAGATCAGGATTTCAATCACCATAGAGAGTAACTGTGGCGGCAGGGCTAGGTCTGCAGATATCCACAGTGTGTTCACCATCACCATAACTCTTACTACAGCTTTGCTTTGTGTAAGCATGAGTATGAAACCCAGTCCAGAGTAGGAGTGACAATGTTATATGTTTACACGCCAAACAAGACAAAAGGCTCTCCTACCAATGAAAACAAGCTCTAAAAAAAAACAAAGATCCAGCTAAAAGCAAGAAAAAAAAACATTTCTGTCAGAGGAAGTTATCTGAAATACTCTTTAAACCAAAGAAGCTGCATTAGGAGTACGCAGGGATATCTCACTCACAACCCTGCCTTCCCCCTCAACCCCTATCACTGTTTAGAGCAATTAGTTGGAAATAGAAGCTATCCTTCATTCTGTGATGGACCTCTTCTCTTGTTTTTGATATATTCCTTAAGTACACTACAGAAAACCAGACAAGAAAGACAATCCATTAGTGGATATTTTAAGCAGCTTTTACTCTGAACTCATGCTGAGGCAAGCCAGAAACGTAAACCTAGTGTGACAGATGAAATCTTAGGTGTTTCAGATTGTGAGCTGAGTATTGAAAATATCAGCTGAACATCCTGAGCTAATGAAATATGATTAAAGAAACTATATTAAAGCTTTCACACAGCACAGAATTATTTGCATAGAGACTCCTCTCTAACCCACTCCAATCTCATGTTGTCCAACATTTCACCTCACTGCCCCTACTGTTCACATCTGCACCAGGACGCAAGGAAATTGGTGCAAACAGAAGTTCCTCCAAAGGGTTTCCATGGGCATTACCACAACACACACTCCTTTCACAGTTCGGCTTAAGGGACATGAAAGCTCTAGGTGTAAAGTGGGGAAAAAACACTGGATGCAGATGCACAAAAACTACAACTATACTACTGCCTTATAGTCAACCACAACTTAATCTAAATCCTATATGCACTCTCTTTATGCAGTTCCATGTAAACTATGCCCTAGAGACGGTCTCCAGAGAGGCACTAGAAATCTATGACTGCAGTGTTATAGCGAACAGAAAACACTCTGTGAAGGGAGGAACTGTTTTCAGCAATACCTGTGCTGTGGTCTTCCTGCACAAGGGGAATAATTGCCAAAATGCTTCTTCTACCAGCTTTCAGTTGGGTATGATGAAGCATTTCTCGCCCCTTTGTAGCTAAAAGTTACTAAACTCCCGTTGAAAGCAGAACTTTAAATCCTTCCTGAAGTGTGATTCCCTTGAAGGCTGGTATACCAGTTTAAGGGACTTTTGCATTAGTCTACGTTTAGCAAACTCCATTTCTGTAGAAATACTGCACCCAGAGTGCTACATAAAAGGTGCTGCAACAAAGAATTACTGTTTTAAAATGGGCTTATATTTTATTGTGCTGCAGACTGCTTTCACCTTTTACAAACTCTGATATAGGTAGGTAGTTCATTTTCCTTAAAAGACACCTCTCAACATAAGAAAGCTTCAGCACCAGCCTACCCTCTCTTCTGCATTGCATTACTGGAGCCTTCATTCCACTCCAGGTAACTTCCATACAGACACTGAAATCCTACAAAAAAAAAGTGAGATAAACAGGATAAGCTGCAAATGAGTGTGAAATAGATTTGGTCCAAGATGGTTTTGACTGACTTTGTACTTTAATACAAGAAAAAAAAAAGGACATACTTAAGAGAATAATTTTAAGAGAATTAATTTTAAGAGAACTTAGCGTTCAGTCTGAAGGGAAGATCTTACTTCTTTTGTTCTTGTTCTTGTGCTCAATAGAACATACCAAATTTTCACAGCAATATCCAAAGATTACAGCAAATAGTTATCACCTGACCCCCATTCCCTTCAGTTTTTAGGATGTTTATCCAGGGACAGCAAGAACCTGACTTTGCTCTGAGGCCAGTTTTAAAATGATGGCTCCAATGCTGTGAAATGTACATACTGTAGCTAGCAAGGTATCACTAATTCCTAGGATAATCCAGAATGTTATGATTAATTTAAACACATTTAATGTTCCCTATTTATAGAACTATGCCTAATTCAATAGAGAGAACTTTTTAGCACAGTTGTTAATGTGAAAAAGCTGGGGAAATGTCATCACATATGTAATGCACTCTTTAGAGTAATGCATTCTTCATGACCCTCTTCTATGTGAGTTCCAGGCTTGAGCTCAAATGAAATGAAATGGGGTCTAGTGTGCAGATACACACTGCTATCTCTCAAAATTTTTCATTCAGGTCGACTTTGAAGCAAGGAGCCTGGAATAGGCTTGACGTGCTAATAGCCACACTGACCGTTCCAGGCTTCAAGATAGCTACCATTTATATAACAGCAACAGAGCTTGCTCAGGTAGGTCTTGATTTGTCATTTAACTTGGGAACAGGGCAACTAAAATAATTAACTGAACATCCCACTCTTGTAATATAGCAGTGGCAGCAATTTCCCCTTTGCAGCAAAGAAAAGTCCTTTGAGAATTTCTTACGGGATCTGAACAATTCAAAGTATTTCCAAGGATTTCTGGGAATCAACAGACTGGCAGACCATGCCATCAACTCTTACTAGTACATTTCACCATGGTCTTTCACTTTTACCTCTTGGTTAGGTGGTCTGTGCACCCACTTCCTTCTCAGAAGCTACTGTGATTCCCACTTGGCTAACAGCAGAGGGCAGGGAGGAGGCAGAAGTCTCATGTCACATCCAACTATGTCATCTGTTTTCAACATTTTATGCCTTGATGATGTAGATGGCACCAAAGCATCTGTTTAATCAGATTCTGGTTCCAGCCAATTCCCATGTGTGTTATCTGATTCATAACAGCTGCCCTAGTAACGCTGTGACTGACATGCATCTTTACTGATATCAAGAAATCTTTTGTTATTTTCAAAGTTAAAACTGAGTGGAATGAATTTGCACCTCTGGATGCAAATGGATATGTAACTAAAAGAGACATCAGGAAAGTCATCTTGGTTTGAATTTAGGCCAGGTCTGTCCTGCAGGTCTCGAGAACATACGGAACACAGAGCTGGTTTTGAAGGCTCAGCACCATTCCAGCAGGTGACAGTCTCTGTCAAATGAAACTAATGTACAGTCTCCCTGAGTCTCCGAGCCCTCATCCCATTTCTAATCTACTCCTTTCTCTCAATATTTTCAGAATTCCACTGAAAGAAGAGCCCTCATGATACACAAAGGAGTACTTAGAAATGATGCCTCAGATCTCCTTGGCTGGGTACAGATTTGAACCTTAAATGATGGAGGATGGAAACTTTTCATATTATTCTATTTAACCAGTAACAACAGGTCCCAGGGACCTTATTCAGAACCTAAGCTCTACCAATGTTGCACAAAGAAACAGAAAAATAGAAATAGCCTCAAAGATCTCGCCACATTATCTTTTAGATTTATCTTTAATATTGTTCATAGAACTACTACTATTAGCCTAAAGTCTAACAGTGACTGCCATGGATGAAGACTCAGCTCAATCTTACTTTCAAACATATACTGAATCCATTAACCAGACAGTTTGTTATTGTTGTTAGTATTGCTAGCAATAGGATTTATTTTGTCATACTGCCTCCTGCAGAGCTTGAAAAGCACCCTGCCAGCTCACGTGGGGTGAGTTGAGGAGCAGACTAGCCTCCCAATGGCTGCAGAATTTAAGTTTTCATTTAACTGGAGGAAAAGTTCCTAGCACTTTTGTCATGAAAGCAAATAAATGCACACTGTGGCCCTGCATCTGCCTTCTGTAAATCAGCTGAGGCAACAGCAGAGTTAACACTATCAAGTGCAGTGCCTTTCCATAGTCACTAAGGATGTGCTGGGCTCACTGGGTCACTATGACAGACAAAAACTAGGTATTACTCCATTTTCCTTCTGCTCAGGAAAGTTGTTATATAACTAATGCAGAAAAAGATCTCAAATAAACAGAAAGTAATGAACTTGTATACAGGTGCCACGAAGTATACAGCAAAAATGGCGTGAAAACAGATCCTTTGCCACTACGAGCTAAAGTTAATTGTACCATTAATGGAAAAACTTCATACCAACACCAGCTGGATACATTAAAAAAAAAAAAGACTCATCACACTCAAGAACACACCTACAAGCCGAATGTAATTATGAATCAACAGTCTGGAAGCTAACGGGGAGGGTTGGTTCCTCCCCAGGCGTGGTCCTGGTTTCTGGAAGGAGGGCCGGCTTCTTGACTTTCCCAATAGCTGCACCAGGAGGCAGAGTCAAGCAGGGTCCCACTGAAAAGCTGTTGGACTACTCCGTGCATTATCCTTCAGCCTTCCTTTTTGTGTTTGTTTTAAATACAACTCTGATTTAGTTGTTCAGATGGTAGGACAGCTGGTACAGTTTTCAGGCCCTCCTTTAATTTAATGGTTTAACATCTAGTGCACAGGCTTGTTTTACCATAGGAATTTTTTTGCCTCCCACGTGTTTCTTTCTAATTGGAAGTATGTAAATCATAGACTGCTGGTGCTATATAAATCCTCTATAGTATGTCTACTACTCATTTAAATAACAAATTGCCACTTTTTACTTCGAACTGCTATATGTTGGCCATAACAAATTGTACGCATGTGATAAATTAAATTTGGAGCCATTCTGTCCTCTATTAACCTTGTTTTATAAGTTTATAAAGTACACAAAGAAGTCCCAACAAACTGAACTTTGAAAAGTAAACCTCCCATTGATGCTTTAAGTGGAGCACTGATTTGCACACTCTAAGATCTCTGTCAGTTAAGGTGTAAGTTTGACACACACTATAGAGCAACTCCAGGATAAAGCTGAGAGCCTTCCAGGTTCAGGTAATTGCTGAACACCAGATAAAGGAACACAATAAATTAGTTAGAAAAGAAAGTGACCTAACCCTAGTCCCAACTTTGTCACTAACTTCTCTCATGTCCTTTGGAAGAAGCTAATTCCCACAGCTAGGCTCCAGTTCTCTCCCTGTTCACTACTTTAAAATCAGTTCCTAACCCTGGAGGCAAGGGTTCTGTTGGGCATACTGTGCTTAAGAGCAATGGGGACCCAAACGCAAACATAGCCATTAGGTACTCTGGGGTAATTCAGTAACTTTGCTATTATAATGTATATTAGATTACTTCCAACAGGACTTCATGAAAAAGCGAGAACAGAACACAACAAATTTAGGGATATGTCAGGTGATCTCATGTAGTTCAAATATCAGCACATGCATGATTGAGAAAAAAATATTATTTTCACATGTCAATTATTTTTTGAAATTCTACTTTGTGTCTGAACTCAAATTTTTATTTTTCTTGGGACTAGAAGCTAATGAACTGAAAATATAAGAAAGTTTGTGGGGTTTTTTCATTATTAAGAAATAGTGGTTTACAATAAGGCAGACTAACTTGAACAAAGAAACATGGCAGTGCTATAATTCAATAAAATATTTAAATATCCATTTCTTTGTAAATTCTTCCTTTGGGGATTTTTAAGAGCTTGGGTTAGCTATTTAATTAAAAGTTGACCTTGTCCTTGTGTGAGATTAAGAAAATGAAGCCCACTTGGAGCATCCCTAGCCGTATCATCCCTGCTTCCCCCACCAGCTTCTTTGCCTCCATCTATTTTGGGCACAGACCACACAGTTTTATGTCAAACGGTATTGTCCAGTCTCTGGGTACTGGAGTTAGTCATGGCCTAGGAAGGGCCAGGAAACATTCCTGGGACTCATTTTGGATGTGGCTGTTCTGAAAAAGAAGCAAACCACGCTGTGCCAGCTGCCCTCTGGCACAGTCAGCCAGGAGGACCGCTGGCCACAGGGGCTATGGCCACAGGAAGCTGCACAGATACCTCAAGAGCAGGCATAAGGCTGCTGATCCCCTAGACAGTGCTACCTGCACTCCTGGCAATTTGCATCCTGCCCGGGTTGCATCCAGCTGAGCTTGGGATACCTGTACAGAGCTCAGCTGCCTGTGTCCAGCTGGTAAGGAGTACACAAAGGGGAGTTGGGTCGTGCAAAGGCACCATGCAAGGAGACTTAAGTTTTCTCGATGTAAACCGCTTCAGATCTTAGCCCTGATATGAAGCAAGAACCCAACAAGTCTGTGTGGTGCTCATAGGAGTAGGTTTTAGAAAGTTCCCTCCCAATCACTCATTTACAAGTTCTAAAAGTCAAGCAATTTTGCAGACTGCAATTTTAGACTGCAAGAGAAATTGGGCATAGCCCTTAATGAGGCATTTAGAATAACCAAACAGTGCCATAGAGCATGCAGTCTATTGCTAAAAGAAAGGGCCCTGATTGTGGACTGCTCTTGGGTCAGCCTGCTGAGACATCTTTAGGCTACAGCACCCCAGCAAGGACCAGACATTGCTCTGGCGTCTCTACCAGCCTCCTTCAAATTGCTTTGCTTGCAAAATCCTTTTTTTTTTCTCTCTTGGATCCGTATTATACTGGCATTTTATACTGAGAGCAATGTAAACAGGGAAGAGAAGCAGTTACCATAACTTCCATCCTGGCATCTCCAGATGGTTCAGGAAGAGTATTCTTTAGCTGAGGGAAAGGATTCAGGGCTTAAGCTTCCTGCACGGGCAAACTTTTCTGCTTGAAAACCATAATGGGTACTGCCAATTTGCAGGCAGCATCTCCCACTTTCTCCTGCTGCACCTGGGTGGCTCTGTGTATGCTCAGGCATAGAGAGCAGCCCAGTATGTGCAGCCGGCCCTCGTCGGGCTGGGAAAGTGCAGCAGCTACCTCGCCTGCTTACTACAGCTAGGGGAGAGGCAGCAGGGTGCAAACCTCAAACTGCTCATGTGAGAGAGGCAGCTAAGAAGTTCCTGCTTCCTTTGTGAATTTCAGATCCTAAAAGATGAGAAGGTTGCAAAGGCCCTAGGGCATGGGATTATTTATTCTTGCTTTCCTTCCTCCTCCATCCTTGCTGCTGCCCAGCCCCCTTCTGGGGAGACCCAGGCAAGTCCCTGCAGCCCATGCAGCCTCCTGATCTGGTACAGCGCCCTCCCCTTCCCCTCTGCCTTCCTCCCCGGGGAAGAAGGGGTTAAGGCAGGCAGGTGCCTCTGCATTTACCTGCTCTGGTCCCAGTTGGCAGCAAAGAGGACGAGGATCTTCCTGCCATAGTGGTCCAGGTTGGCCAGCCCTCCGGGGAAGCCGTCCTTCAGCGCCTGCTTGATGCCCGGGTCGGTGGCCTTGAAGCTCTTGAACATGTCCAGGTTTTGCTGGCGATACTCGAAGTACTGGGCCAGGAGGCGAAACGCCTCGAAGTGCTGAAACTTCCTGGCCCGCAGGAAACGCAGGATGAAGGCATCGTCGGTGCGCAGGAAGCCAATGTCCGGCCGGGTGATCACCATGTCCCGCACCTCCTGGATGTCCTGGTGCAAGGTGTCGGGGTTCTCGTTCAGCTCCAGCCGCGCTTTCTCCAGAGTCTCAGGGGACAGACCTGCCTGCAAATGAGTCATGGTGCTGCCCTCCTCCTCCAGCCCCGCGGCGCTGCCCGCGCTCCTCAGCCTCCCGGGCAGCGGCTCCCCGGCCTCCCGGCGCCCCCCGCCCGAGGGCA